GTGGTGGCTTTTTTTGTTTCTGTTTCTGTCTTTCTGGGGAGCACACATGCCCTATAGCAAAAACCTCCCAAAAAAAAAAAAAAAAAAAGACCCTTTCCAGTAATTAAGATCTAAGAAAAAGATATAACAGACAAATAGACTTTCTCATCCTGAGAACTGTAATTAATTTTACCTGATCTGACAAGACAAACAGCATGTTTTATAATTATTGCTTCCATGCTTTGTATACCCTGTTCCTTAGAGTAAATTTTTTACTACCCCTCACCCTCCTTACTTCCTAAACCTCCCTCAATAAATACACATGTTTTAATAGCCACGGCGCGGCAGCCTGGAGCTGGCTCTGGCTGTGGCCAGCTGAGAACATGCTAAGGAGCAATGAGGTCTCAGTCTAATTTCTGTTCCTGAGCACCCGTGTTGCCTTCCTGTGTACGAGCCACCCACTACTGCCGAGGCCGGACCCCGGCACTCCTCTCCGGATCTTCGGCACGCAGGCACATGCGTCCAGTGTGAGTTTTAAGCAACTGGATCCAGGACTCAAACCATGACTGACTATGTGGGAGTCCAGTGACATAACCATTATGCCATCTGCTGGGCCTTTTTTTTCTGTTTTACTAAAGTACACATGTACTCGCCAGAGGGAGACAGAGAAGGAGAGGAGGAAAGTGAGAAAGCATCCGCCAGGGAGAATGGCCGTACTGCAATCCCTTCTTCACTCTCCTCTCAGGATTTTGGGCATGCACGTACATGTGCCTGGCATGTTTTTTTAAGCCCGTAGGTCCAGGACTTGAACTGCACAGTTGGCCATGTGGGATCCAGCCACTTTAACCTCTGTGCCACCTGCTGCCCCCCACCCCATACTAGACATGGTAAGGACATGTCTGTACAGTGTGAATGCTTGATACTAACCTAGTGCTACCCGTGCACTTGCAGGTGTGGCGGAAGGGCCAAGCGAGAGGAAGCCTCCCTGCCCTTTGAATGGGGTGCAGGTCCACTCGGGAGAAACGGAAATACTCAGGAAAGCAGTCGGGGACTATTTCTGCTTTTGCTACGGTAACGTTCACTCCAAGCGTGAATTCTCTAAATGGTTCGCTAAGGAGTAGGACGGGTGTTGTAGACCGTTTTATGCAATGACTCAGAATGTTTTGAACACTTTCAAACCCCCATTCTCAGCAAACAAAGAGGCTGTCTTTAAGTGCCGAAGGAAGTCTTCTTGCAGAAACTGCTTGGTCTCTTCTGATCCATGAAATGCCCATGTTGAGCTCACTCCAGGGAACCCCCACACCAGGGCCAGTGCAGTTAAAAACGTCCGGTGTGGGCTCAGTCACGCCCTCCCCCTCAGAGCTCTTTCCACCTACTCATGCCTTTCCACAGGCATTAAGGCAGTGGGTGTTTTAACGTTTATTTACTTAGTTCTGAGAGAGAGAGAGGACCCATAGCAGGGTCCTCGTGCTGCCATCTACCCCCAGTCTCAGCCCGCCAGGATCATGGCTACATGTGTGCCCAGAGTGCTTGGAGGGCCTCAGGACTCCAGCCGAGGACCATTCCGTGTAGGGCCACTTGCATTACCACTTTGTCACTTTCTTTTTCATTTCACATTCAGTCATCACTGTGTATCGCTACAGCATACCAAATGAATTTTCCCATCCTGGATACACTGTGTATTGGCTCAGTTGAAGACTTTTTTTTTTTTTTTTGCTATAGGGCACATGTGCCTGCCAGAAAGACAGACAGACATAGAGAAAGAAAGTGAGAAATCACCCCCCAGGGGGGATGGTCACGCCACAATCCCTTCTCCTCCATTCTCCTCTCGGGATCTTGGGCATGCACGCACACGCGCCCGGCGTGAGTTTTAAGCCACCGGGTTCGGGACGCAAATCGCTGTCGACTATGTGGGAGTCCAGCGACATAGCCATTACACTAACTTCTGGTTCCCTCACTCCTTTTTTTTTTTTAAGAATTATTTAACTTTACTTATTTATTTATTTAAATTTGACTAGAGAGGGACAGAGTGAGCGAGAGAGGGAAAGTGAGAAGGCAAGCCACCAGGCCCAGGACTCAAATCTCAGTCAGCCCATGAAGGTTTTTTTGTTTCTTTTTAAAGGTTTTGGCCATAGGGCACGTGTGCTCGCTGGAGAGGACAGACAGACAGAGAGAGGAGAAGTTAGAACTCACCCCCCAGTGGGGATGGCCACACTGCAATCCTTTCTCCTCCATTTTCCTCTTGGGTTTTTGGACATGCATGCATACGCCCCTGGCATGATTTTAAAGCCTCCAGATCTTATTGGGCCAATTTGTCATTATTATAATTATTATTTTATTTTGGCCCTGTGGGAGGCCAGTGCCTTAACCACCATGCCACATGCTGACTCCTATGTGAAGTTTTAAAGTAAAGCATTGTGTCGATGTTTCATTTTGACCCTTTGGTTAGGAATTATATTAATCAGGGTATCAAGGAATACGGCATTTTGACAAACCTTCAAAATCCAAAGCCGCCACTCTCTGAATGTTTATTACATTAAATTAGACTGTGTGGTCTAATTTATGGTCTTATGCTCAGACTTAGAGACATCTGCTCTTGTTCTAGGTAAAGCCTTAGGGACAACAGCGATGGTACCTGTTCCCTATGAGCAGATGCTTCGAGACCAGGCTGCTGTGGTCGTGCAGGGGCTTCCAGAAGGAGTTGCCTTTCAGCACCCTGAGAATTATGATCTCGTCACCCTGAAATGGATTTTGGAGAACAAAGCGGGGATTTCATTCATCATAAACAGGTGACGCCATGCTCTGCTCTTACCGCAGTTAGTTCATTGAAAGATAACACCACAGCCTTGTTTCAATTTGCTGGTTAATTCTGCACTATTACTTTAAAAAGGCGATTTGTGTGATCGCGTTGTCATGTGTTCACGTCGGGTCATAGTTTCATTCTCTTGCAGACCCTTCCAAGGTCCGGAGAGCCAACTGGGTAAGGATCACTTCTCTGCGGTAGCTGCACCGAGCTGCTAAACTGCTTTTGCTTTTCTTCATTAAAATGTACGTGCTGGCACTTTCGTTGCTCTCTCTCCATTGAGGGCACCACCTCTGACATCCCTGGGTCGGGGTTCCGTCTTCGTGGGGGATTTCCAGCTCAGGGAAAGCCACGCCCTGCCCAGAGAGCTCAGATGCAGCTTCTCTTCCCAGCTCTCATGCTGGCAAGCGTCTGTGGCCAGACTGTGGCATGCGGGAGAACTCCCTTGTTCTGCCTCAACAGGAAGCGGGAGTCCCTGTGCGGTCTCCGACCACCAGCCCTGGGCAAAGCTCTCCTCAGGTTCTTTTTTTCATGAGTGAAAGAGACAGAGACCCAGCACCCCAGGAGGGGCCTGACTCTCTGGTCCACCCCCGCCCCAACCAGCACCAGATTGTGGGCATGCGCATGCCTAGAAAACCCAGGGAGGTCTCTGGACATGAACCCAGAGCCTTCTCACATGGGGCAGCCTGCATGCACATCACTACAACCCATCATCCCCTCAACCTGTGGTACCTAGAGGGCCTCCCTGCCAGAAAGTATCTCCACCAGAAACAGTAGGGATCCGCCCATGCCCACCTCTTACTCTCTCAAATTATTATTTTGGAATGTAGTTGGAAACCTTGGCCTATAGCCATTCATGAAAGACCAGGCCTAAAGAGGATGTCTTGCTGAGACTGCGTAGGTAGAACAGTGAGGCGGCCTGGGGGTGAAGGGGTCACGCAGTTCACAGGGCACACTGCTGAGTGGGGAGTAGGGAGGGACATGACACACCCCAGCTCTTCCTTTTTTTCTCTCTTCCGAGCCATGGGCCAATCACAGGGTAAGATCTGTTTCTGGAGTAATTGTGAGCTTTGTAGTCTGGCTCACGTTAAAGTCTTAGAGGGGAGGGTGAAAGGTGACTCCGTAACTGTCATCCTAGGCAACTTGTATCTTCATTACATAATAATAATAATAATAATAGCAGCAGTTGGCACTTGCTTAGTGCTTACAATGTGCTAGGCACTTTCTTTTTTTTTAAGAATTATTTATTTAATTTTATTTATTATTTATTTTTTAAAATAGTTATTTTTTTAAAGAATTATTTCATTTAACTTTATTTATTATTATCATTATTATTTTCCAGTTTGATCAGAGAGAGACAGAGAGAAAGAGAGGAAGTGAGAAAGCAAGCCACCAGGTCCGAGACTTGAACCGTGGTCGGCCATGTGGAGTCCAGCGCCTTTAACCACCATGCCACTTGCCGGCCCCTGAAATAATTATTTAATTTTATTTAGTTTACTTTTTATTTTAATTTGACCAAATAGGGACAGAGTGAGGGAGTGAGAGAGAGAGAGAGAGAGAGTGTGTGTGTGTGTGTGTGTGTGTGAGAGAGAGAGAGATGGGAGGTGAGAAAGCAAGCTGCCGGGTCTGGGACTCGAACCACAGTTGTCCATGTGGGAGCCTAGCGCCCTTAACTACTATGCTACCTACTGGCCCCCATTCTTTATTTTGACCAGAGAGAAACAAAGACAGAGAGAGTGAGAAAGCAAACCACCAGGTCCAAGACTCAAACTGCGCTCAGCCACATGAGAGTCCAGCGCCTTAACCACCATGCCACCTTCCAGCCCCACTAGGCATTGTTCTAATTGATCATTTTGCATATATTGATTAATCCTTGCACAACCACCATTTTCAGAGGAAGGAGAGGCAGAGGGAGGTCTAGTGACCTGCCCATGGTCACCAGCTGGTGAGCAGCCAGGCTGGGACCTGCCCTCCAGCTCTGCACCACCCCCTGCACAAATGGCCCTAGAGCAGCTCTCTCCCGCTTACTATTCATGATGCCCTTGAGCTGGGGGTCCTGTTTTATCCTTTTGCTTCCCATTCAAAGGCCTTCGAACATAGTCGTGTTTCAGGGTGCTGACGGGGCTAGTTTGTATCTTTTATTCCTGCACAGGTGGTCCTTCGATGGGAGCAGATGCTGAGAGATCAATGATTTCACCGAGTGACAGGTAAAGGGTAAACAATGAATAATCAGATCCCCACCTGCCCACAAAATGTTAGCGTTTGGACTAGGGAAAGGCTTCCTTATAACATGTAAGTACAATAAGAAGCTTGAAAACCATATCAGGTGTGTGTACATGCGTGCCCAAAATCCTGAGGAGAATGGAGGCGAAGGGATTGCAGCAGGGAGGTGGTTTCTTGCTTTCTGTCTCTCCTCTCTGTCTTTTCTGGTGAATTCATGTGCCCTACGGCAGTAAAAAACTAAAAAAAATTTAAAAAGGAGTTAATATGATATCCTTCCTTATTTTGTCATATATTTTTATTTCAAAAGGAGATTTGGAATTATGGACTATATAGTGACCCCCCTTTTCTGAGGGCTATGTGTTCCAAGACCCCCCCAAGGGATGCCTGAAACCAGGTACTGTGTGGATCAGTGTGAGATGTCATCACACTACGCAGAATGGTGCGCGATTTAAAACTTATGAATTATTAATTTCTGGAATTTTCCACTTAGTGTTTTCAAATTGTGGTGAACTGTGAGTTACTGAAAGCAAAATGACAGATAAGGGGGGACTATTGTATTTTATCAGTAACTTTAGTTTGAAACAGGTTTTTTTTTGAGGGATTTTCGCTATAGGGCACATGCACTCG